TTTTTTTTTTTTTTTTTTTTTTAACAGACAGGCTCTGCAGCCCTCCCCATGGGAGGCCACAAAAAGGGGAAACTAGCAACATTAAATTAGTCTAATTAGACTACAGGTTAATACAGTTACACGTTTTTGGGAGAAGACAGAAAAAAAGACACAGAAAGATCTGTCTCTCTTCCTTCTAGCAGTCAAGGAAACTGTGGAAAACCTTCACATTTTTCAGACACGTTAGGCTGATACAAAAAAAAAAAAATGAAGCGTAGATGCCCAGATCTTGTTCAAAGAATGAATGCTGCTGGGAAGCCCATTTCCATCTGCTAAGTGTCATGGATAATTCTGTCTCAGTATCATATTGTTCCCGGACCTTGCTGGTGCACAAGCTTTTAACGCAGGTCTGTCTGCCAACATCAGTCTTTAAACTAATGGGTGTCTAGTCAGTGTGTCAGACTCTGTTCTAAAGGTTGAAGGGTTTTACTTACTGCCACCCACCCCAGGAAACTTAGAAGTGGGTCACCCATAAGTCTATTAGCACTGCTTCCCAAATCAGCAAAAGGGATCACTTACAAACTAATATGGGGGTCCTTTTTCCCCCACCAAAGCCTGAATAAACTGCCTCTCCAATGCTCAGACTGAAGTGTTGATTTCCTAAGCCTGGTCCCTATTCCATCCTGGAGCCATGTTTGAAATCATCTTCCATTAACAAACAACTCAACAGCAGCATATATTACAAGTGTTCAGGCACCATGCCATGGCTCTACTGAAAGGAAGGAGGTAAATTATAAAATGTGGCTTTTGTTGGTGCAATTATTCTGTAACAGAGACCTTTACAGAATAAGACTGTCTCTACCCTTGGTATATACTGAAACCATGTCAGTACCAAGCCAGCTACAACTGTTCAAAAACACAATCAGCAGGCACAGTTCTACTCTACTTTCTACCCCATCTAAGCAACAAAAGCAGTCAAGCCAATACCTTGATCAAAACATTAATCCAAGGAGCTGGATGAACTCTAACTGTGATGTAAACTGGTTTCACACTGCCACTGTAACAGCTAGGGCTTGTCCACAGCAAAAATGCAGCCTTACCATAACAGTATCAGGGAATAACTAACTCATCTGTCCCTGGGCTGTGAAAGTGTAGGGCCAGGGTTTCCATGGCAGCTAGTCCCAGAAGCACTGGCAGGGCGCGTGGGTGGGTG